ACATCGAAGCTAGTCCAAATAGCTTTTTGCGTCAGCAAAAAACCTTGTTTTGATGGGAGTCGGGTGGGATTCTAAAAAACAAGGTCAGAAAATGGCGTTGACTGCGTATTGGAAATGAATGCTTGGCTTGAATGTTAAAGTTTGAGATTGTGCAACCATATATTAACATCATTTGCCTTCCTTTTGGGAAGTGCGGATGGGACTGAGCTGATGGGAGCCATCGTGTTGTAGTTCAGTAGTCCCAATTTGGTATATTTATTTGTGCATTGTGTCTTTAGTATTTGTGTGTGGGCTGCCTGTCTCGTGTCGGTGTTGAAGTCGAACTGAGACTTTATTTCCAAAACGCGGGATATAGCCATTTTGAACACTTGTGCCAAATGCCTGCATCGAAGCTAGTCCAGAAAGTTTTTGGCGGGAGTCGGGTGGGATTCTAAAAAAATAAGGTCAGAAAATGGCGTTGACTGCGTATTGGAAATGAATGCTTGGCTTGAATGTTAAGTTTGAGATTGTGCAACCACATACTCACATTATTTCCCTTCCTTTTGGAAGTTTTTCTTGTATCTCCTTGTCTGTCTATATGTTACTACAGATTCTGGTGTCAAAGTGCGGACGGGACTGAGCTGATGGGAGCCATCGTGTTGTAGTTCAGTAGTCCCAATTTGGTATATTTATTTGTGCATTGTGTCTTTAGTATTTGTGTGTGGGCTGCCTGTCTCGTGTCGGTGTTGAAGTCGAACTGAGACTTTATTTCCAAAACGCGGGATATAGCCATTTTGAACACTTGTGCCAAATGCCTGCATCGAAGCTAGTCCAGAAAGTTTTTGGCGGGAGTCGGGTGGGATTCTAAAAAAATAAGGTCAGAAAATGGCGTTGGCTGCGTATTGGAAATGAATGCTTGGCTTGAATGTTAAGTTTGAGATTGTGCAACCACATACTCACATTATTTCCCTTCCTTTTGGAAGTTTTTCTTGTATCTCCTTGTCTGTCTATATGTTACTACAGATTCTGGTGTCAAAGTGCGGACGGGACTGAGCTGATGGGAGCCATCGTGTTGTAGTTCAGTAGTCCCAATTTGGTATATTTTTTGTGCATTGTGTCTTTAGTATTTGTGTGTGGGCACCCCGTCTCGTGTCGGTGTTGAAGTTGAACTGAGACTTTATTTCCGAAACGCGGGATATAGCCATTTTGAACACTTGTGCCAAATGCCTGCATCGAAGCTAGTCCAAATAGTTTTTTGCGTCAGCAAAAATCTTGTTTTGATGGGAGTCGGGTGGGATTTTAAAAAAAAGAAGGTCAGAAAATGGCGTTGGCTGCGTATTGGAAATGAATGCTTGGCTTGAATGTTAAAATAAAGTTTGAGATTGTGCAACGATGTTTGAGCTTTGTGCACAACGTTCCCCAACCATAAGCAGTCATACAGGGTCAACACAGCATCAACACACACAGAAGCGACAACACAGGTCAACACCACCAAAACGCATTCAAATTGACGAAACCAGTGTTCAAACCGTACAGTATGGGCAAAACTTAAATTTTGGCTAGAAATCAATAAGTTAAACGTCTGAAAATTGTAATTTTCAGTTGAAGAAAATTGGCTCTCTTAATACGGGCGATTCCAAATAGTGCGCCTCCAAGAGTTTGCAGCGCGTTGGCCAATCACAATGCGCGAAATCAGTCGACCTTTTCCAAACGGGCGTTGGGTCGACAGATTTTGCGCATTGTGATTGGCCAACGCGTTGCAAACTCTTGGAGGCGTACTATTGGGAATCGCCCGTATTCGTGCAGCTCCGAATCGGCAGACATGGCCAAGTTCGGGCAAGGACCATTAGTCGACTAGTGGTTGATTTGTGACGTACCTTACGCCTGCGCGCTAATAGCAAAGTGCGAACGTCTCTAGTCGAACGCTGGTCAAAATGTCATTGCAAAACGTCTGGATCCTGGCTCCCTGCTGTACGTTATGAACGCGCGCGGCTATGGTTACCAGCGATGCAACCAGCCCCAGTAGGTTGGTTCCAAATAGTCGACTAGCGTAGTTAACCATCGTCGACTAGACAGAGTTCGGGCAAGCGTTAGTCGACCAATGGTTAACTATAGTCCTTGCGCGAACTTGCCCTTAGCGAGCATTTTTTTTTTTTGCGTGACAAAAACTCCATTTTCTTAAACGAAATGTAACCTCTGGCCCACCAAAAAATCTCTTTAAGTCTAAACATTACAGTTCCATGCCTTTTTTGGTCAATTTAGAATGCGTTTTGGAAGTGTTGACGGTGTGTTGATGCTTCTATCATGTGTTGACGCCGTGTTGACGCTGTGTTGACGCTTATTAGTACGACCCACTATAAGTGCGTGATTCTCATCAGAGCCAGCATGCTTGTATGCCAGCCGCCTACAAGAAAGCGCTCGATCGTCTCGGCACTGGAGCACATCGGCTATTTTCCTTGAACTTGCTCTATATCGAAGAACTGCAACGGAATGGGTACAATAATTCATGGGAAACTACCGTATGATTGAAAACTAGAATTTTATTTGTTTTTACTTCCAATTTTTAAGAATTGACTTGTATCTAGGCCTATATCTGTATGAATAGAATGAAGCAAATGCAAAAGCATTTTTTTTTTACTTTTTAGCTTTGCTAGATTATAAGCATTTACTTCGTTTCGTATGAATACAAAGGAGTAAAAGGGAGATCCCCACTGTCCAACGAGGCTTGGTACAAGATGGAGAGTACAGGTCCAAGGCTGTTAGCAAGTTCTTTCAGTAGACGAGCTGGAATATTATCTGGTGGCTTTATGAGGATTTATTTTCTTCAGCAATTTGATTACGCCGTTGACATTTATCTGTATGTGATCCATAGTAGGAAATGGACTAGGGCCAAGGAGTGGCATGGTGGATGGATCCTCATCTTTGTTGCAGACTGAACAAAACTGGTCGTTGAGAATATTTGCCTTATCCTTACTTCCAGTGTATGTAGCTCCTCTGGGGCCACGGAGAGGGGCAACACCATTGTTGTCACAGCGCTTGCTTGAGATATGGCTCCAGAAACGCTTGGGATTTGACTTGAGATCTGGGCACACAATGTTGTTGATGTAGTTGTTGTATGCTTCTCTGCATGCGTTCTGCATACGTTTCTTCAGGACGTTGTACCTGGCCCAGTGACGGTGATTGCGATGACGGCGATGGGAGCAAGCCTTGTTGTAAGCACGTTGTTTCTGCCTACTGAGCTGCTTGATTTTGCGGGTTATCCATGGCTGCATGGTTGAAACGACTAGATGTGAATTTGGATGGAACAAGGTCCAAGATTTGGGAGAGTTTTAACTCTATGGTGTCCCACATCTCGCTGACAGGGGATGAAGCGTCAAATTTGGTTACAAATTCATCTTTTAAGGTCGCCACCTATCCCGCACAATGGATTTCCTGTTGTTGCTGGAAATGTTACGTATGGAACTACACAGGCAGGCACTCTAAGTAGTTCTCATTTGAGCATGGGGGGCGGTATACAGCGCCAACAATGAGAGATTCGCATGTTTGTGATTTGGCGTTTCTGTGTTTGAGATCGATCTCGACAAAGAGTGCCTCACAATCGTCGGCTGTCTGGATGATTTTTCCAGACCAGAACCCACGCCAATGGCGACTCCACGATCCACCACAACTGTCTGATCTGTCCCTCCTATACAGCTCATAGTCTAGTTCGGGGGGAAAGATTTCATGGTTAGAAATGTTGGGATTTAACCAGGTTTCTGTAAGGATGACAATGCCAGGTTTAGCGGTGTGTAGGATGTTCCAAAATTCCACCAGTTTATTTCTGATGCTACGACAGTTAATGACCAGAACGCCCAGGTTTGAAGGAAGGGTGCCGGCAATATTAACAGGCGCGTTGGGTTTATTTGGGGATGACATGGCTGATGGCAGACCAATGGGCTATGAGCGCTAGTACATGCGCTGTCAAAATTACTTTCCTGAGATATGTTGCTACATGTACAGGATGAAGATGCATATGATGCTGAATCAGAGACATTGCAACGATGGATGATTCAAAGAAACTTGAAGTGAAGTGTAAGACACCACAGGTAGGGCAATGCCAATTAACTTACATCAGGGTCGCATAGGTAATTAAATGTTTGAGTGCTTATGTGTACACAGTTCTTATGAAACCAGACTTCGCAATCATCACAGGCTACTGCAGGGGTTTTCCAACGAACAGCACGACTGCAAATACCACAGGGGTACTTAGGCCTGTAAGGCATCGCAGTTCATATCAAGGTTCAGAGTTCACCCGTAGGCCTACATGTATGCATGTAATCATGGCAACAATGGCAGGCTTCAACATGAAGTTCAAGAGAGGAATTCTTTTCTTCGATGGCTTGAAACTGAAAGAAATGTGGATAATTGGCACCAGAATACAAATATGATGATATAGAGAGTGACCATGTGTACAATAGGATGCAAGCAACCCGATTGACAAGGGATTGGGGGTGGATGGCTGAGAAAAAATTGTTTTCAGTTCTACTTGCGAAATTGCATGATTGTCGACCATGTGAACGGCACTCAGTCAGTCAGTATACACATTACAGTATGGTGAACGGTGAAACCTGAGGTGAAGACTCTCAAAACGTCCCAAAATTTAGTAAGAGAACATCAGAAATAGTCCAGGTGATGAAAGAATGTATTGGTGAAGGTAAAAGCTCCTCAAAGAAACATGAAAGCATGACTTTTCAGTAAAAAAGGAAAGAAGAAACCAGAGAGAACAGAGAGCACGTCTGCACTGCATGAATGCACAACAACTATTCATGCTTTAAGTGACTATAGGCCTATAGATTGTTTATAATGTAATTTGAACCTTAAATAAGGTAATACTACAAATCTGCATGTGTTTTAAGTGTTTATAGTGTATTTCGAGTAATTCTGTGGAATTTGACAGATTTTTGATAAATCTGACAGATTTTTGAAGCGAATTTAGCAGAATTTTGCCATGACCTTACGGTCACCCTGCTTTGGGCAGAGCGTAATGTCACTGAATGTATAACGCTACAGTGTATGCCCACAGTGTATATGGAGAATGCCTACTGCCTGATGTGCAAGGTTGACTACCTCGCTGTTTGGTTGACTTCAATGCTTACAAACTACAAAAGCCGTAAAGTTTATCATAGAGGTTCTGAGGTAAGCAATACTTTTGGGGCCTTCCATTAATAAATAGTAATGAAAATAATCGTTGTTTAACCGGCCGTGCCATGTTTTTTTCGTGAACGAGATGCAAGATATGGGGTGAAACATTTCGCCACATGTGTTGAGTAGCGCTACAAGCACTACTCGTACATTTCCAACGATACGCTCTCTGTATCCGACACCATGGACCATGAGTATATCACTACTCCATAAAACTGTGTACAAACTAAAAATGCTTCTTTGGAGGGGAGATGAAATCACTACTCACTACTCCATAGACACGTGTACAAAAAGTCACTACACAAGTCCTACGCGGCAGGAAAATCACTACTCCATAGAACTGTGTACAAACCAAAACAGCTTCTTTGGAGGGGAGATGAAATCACTACTCACTACTCCATAGACACGTGTACAAAAAGGCACTACACAAGTCCTACACGGCAGGAAAATCACTACTCCATAGAACTGTGTACAAACTAAAAAAGCTTCTTTGGAGGGGAGATGAAATCACTACTCACTACTCCATAGACACGTGTACAAAAAGGCACTACACAAGTCCTACACGGCAGGAAAATCACTACTCCATAGAACTGTGTACAAACCAAAACAGCTTCTTTGGAGGGGAGATGAAATCACTACTCACTACTCCATAGACACGTGTACAAAAAGGCACTACACAAGTCCTACGCGGCAGGAAAATCACTACTCCATAGAACTGTGTACAAACCAAAACAGCTTCTTTGGAGGGGAGATGAAATCACTACTCACTACTCCATAGACACGTGTACAAAAAGGCACTACACAAGTCCTACGCGGCAGGAAAATCACTACTCCATAGAACTGTGTACAAACCAAAAAAGCTTCTTTGGAGGGGAGATGAAATCACTACTCACTACTCCATAGACACGTGTACAAAAAGTCACTACACAAGTCCTACACGGCAGGAAAATCACTACTCCATAGAACTGTGTACAAACCAAAACAGCTTCTTTGGAGGGCAGATGAAGTCACTACTCACTACTCCATAGACACGTGTACAAAAAGTCACTACACAAGTCCTACACGGCAGGAAAATCACTACTCCATAGAACTGTGTACAAACCAAAAAAGCTTCTTTGGAGGGGAGATGAAATCACTACTCACTACTCCATAGACACGTGTACAAAAAGGCACTACACAAGTCCTACACGGCAGGAAAATCACTACTCCATAGAACTGTGTACAAACCAAAACAGCTTCTTTGGAGGGGAGATGAAATCACTACTCACTACTCCATAGACACGTGTACAAAAAGGCACTACACAAGTCCGGACTACACGCCAGGAAAATCACTACTCCATAGAACTGTGTACAAACCAAAACAGCTTCTTTGGAGGGGAGATGAAATCACTACTCACTACTCCATAGACACGTGTACAAAAAGGCACTACACAAGTCCTACACGGCAGGAAAATCACTACTCCATAGAACTGTGTACAAACCAAAACAGCTTCTTTGGAGGGGAGATGAAATCACTACTCACTACTCCATAGACACGTGTACAAAAAGTCACTACACAAGTCCTACACGCCAGGAAAATCACTACTCCATAGAACTGTGTACAAACCAAAACAGCTTCTTTGGAGGGCAGATGAAGTCACTACTCACTACTCCATAGACACGTGTACAAAAAGGCACTACACAAGTCCTACACGCTAGGAAAATCACTACTCCATAGAACTGTGTACAAACCAAAAAAGCTTCTTTGGAGGGGAGATGAAATCACTACTCACTACTCCATAGACACGTGTACAAAAAGGCACTACACAAGTCCTACACGGCAGGAAAATCACTACTCCATAGAACTGTGTACAAACCAAAACAGCTTCTTTGGAGGGGAGATGAAATCACTACTCACTACTCCATAGACACGTGTACAAAAAGGCACTACACAAGTCCGGACTACACGCCAGGAAAATCACTACTCCATAGAACTGTGTACAAACCAAAACAGCTTCTTTGGAGGGGAGATGAAATCACTACTCACTACTCCATAGACACGTGTACAAAAAGGCACTACACAAGTCCTACACGGCAGGAAAATCACTACTCCATAGAACTGTGTACAAACCAAAACAGCTTCTTTGGAGGGGAGATGAAATCACTACTCACTACTCCATAGACACGTGTACAAAAAGTCACTACACAAGTCCTACACGCCAGGAAAATCACTACTCCATAGAACTGTGTACAAACCAAAACAGCTTCTTTGGAGGGCAGATGAAGTCACTACTCACTACTCCATAGACACGTGTACAAAAAGGCACTACACAAGTCCTACACGCTAGGAAAATCACTACTCCATAGAACTGTGTACAAACCAAAAAAGCTTCTTTGGAGGGGAGATGAAATCACTACTCACTACTCCATAGACACGTGTACAAAAAGGCACTACACAAGTCCTACACGGCAAAAAAATCACTACTCCATAGAACTGTGTACAAACCAAAAAAGCTTCTTTGGAGGGGAGATGAAATCACTACTCACTACTCCATAGACACGTGTACAAAAAGGCACTACACAAGTCCGGACTACACGCCAGGAAAATCACTACTCCATAAAACTGTGTACAAACTAAAAAAGCTTCTTTGGAGGGGAGATGAAATCACTACTCACTACTCCATAGACACGTGTACAAAAAGTCACTACACAATTAAGTCCTACATGGCAGGAAAATCACTACTCCATAGAACTGTGTACAAACCAAAAAAGCTTCTTTGGAGGGGAGATGAAATCACTACTCACTACTCCATAGACACGTGTACAAAAAGGCACTACACAAGTCCTACACGGCAGGAAAATCACTACTCCATAGAACTGTGTACAAAGCAAAACAGCTTCTTTGGAGGGGAGATGAAATCACTACTCACTACTCCATAGACACGTGTACAAAAAGGCACTACACAAGTCCGGACTACACGCCAGGAAAATCACTACTCCATAAAACTGTGTACAAACTAAAAAAGCTTCTTTGGAGGGGAGATGAAATCACTACTCACTACTCCATAGACACGTGTACAAAAAGGCACTACACAAGTCCTACACGCCAGGAAAATCACTACGCCATAGAACTGTGTACAAACTAAAAAAGCTTCTTTGGAGGGGAGATGAAATCACTACTCACTACTCCATAGACACGTGTACAAAAAGGCACTACACAAGTCCTACACGGCAGGAAAATCAATACTCCATAGAACTGTGTACAAACTAAAAAAGCTTCTTTGGAGGGGAGATGAAATCACTACTCACTACTCCATAGACACGTGTACAAAAAGGCACTACACAAGTCCTACACGGCAGAAAAATCACTACCCCATAGAACTGTGTACAAACTAAAAAAGCTTCTTTGGAGGGGAGATGAAATCACTACTCACTACTCCATAGACACGTGTACAAAAAGGCACTACACAAGTCCTACACGGCAGGACTTGTGTAGTGACTTTTTGTACACGTGTCTATGGAGTAGTGAGTAGTGATTTCAACTACCCTTCAAAAAGGAGCTTTTTTATATATATTTTTTTTAATGTACAGAGTTCTATGGAGACTGATTTACACAGTGGGCTAGTGGTTCACAGATTATTCAGTGGTGTGCGTATTTTAGGTTGTGACAGAATACTAGTTGTGTAGGGTTCAGTAGCGCTACTGAAAACACCTACCGACCGAGAACCCCCCATTTCGTGCACCATTTGTGAACGAGACAGCACCACACTAGCTAGTCTGGTTCCCAGACGAAAAGATCTGACTACAATCCAGGCGTGAGCGTCGGGAATAATTGTCAGGTCTGGGAACTAGACTAGCACCACACCGAATGCGATACCGAAATTGAAATTCCTAGTTTCGGCGCACAGAATTTACAAATCCGTTGATTCCTAGTTATGCTGCAACACCGTCATGACCGTTCCGGCGACCCGGTAAAAATTCTTGTAAATGCATGTCACCAATTCGTTAACATTTTTAGGCTTTTGAAGCGGTAGTGGCGGTCCCGTTTTGGAGTAATTGCAGAATACCCCCGCCACTCGGAAATACACCCCTAAATTCTCTGGCTACGCATGCTACGTGGTTGGAATCACTGGAAAAGAAACAATTCAAGTCCATTGTGGCAGCTACGCGGATACTGAGTGGGGGTCTCCTTGAGACACAAAATGAATGGAGCAACACAAAATGAATGGGAGTTGCTGAAAAAAATTCGAAGTCCAACCAACTATGCTGTTGCCGGCTGCGCGGATACGAAGTGGGAGTATGCTTGAGAACAAAGCAACACAAAAGTAATGGGAGTTGCTGAAAAAAGTCCAAACCAACTACATGTACAATGTTGCCGGCTACGTGGATACGGAGTGGGAGTGCAGTGGAGCATGACGCATAGTACATACATGTAGCGCTGAGAGGATTTATTGAGGGCAATCAACCGTGACCTCATAGCCGGCTACGAGGTGCATAGATCGAGTGGCGGGGTATTCTGCAATTGTGCCCCCGTTTTAAGCTAGTTGGCTACACATAAAATATTGTGCATTGTTGGGGCTGGAATTTTAAATAATGTTTGGTCTTCCTGCAAACTAGCTTTGCAAAAGTGGGTGTGTGTGACTGTAAACACTGGCAATCGTCATATGATCGTGCACCTAGGACAAAAGGTATACTATAGGGCACAAACAAAATGTCAATACGTCCACGATTGACTGAAAGTCCTCGATTGGAATTCGTGTACAAAACCAATGACAGCTGTTGCTAAAAAGTTAAGGTACATGTACAAACAAAGGAATGAGGAGGGATAGGAGGTCCACGATTGCTGGTGTTTACGAATGGGTGTGTGAGTTTGTTTTTGCATTCAATAGGGGACGTTGAACAATAGAGGACAATAGGGTCCCCAATTCCCGAAGGTCCCCAATTTAGAATCGTGTACAAAACATATGGCGGGTCTTCCTAAAAAGTTTGAGTACAAACAAAAGAGGGACAATAGGGATTTCCCCGATTGCAGGCAAATACACATTTGTGTGGGTGTACGTGTTCATCTTTTCAAACCGTGGAGAAAAAAATACCAGAGACCAAACGAGAACAATATCGTCCAGCATACGTCTGCGATTGGGGTCGTGTTCAAACCATATGGGAGTCTTCCTAAAAAGTACAAACAAAAGAGGGACAATGGACATCCACGATCGACGGTGAACACACGTTTGTGTGTGTGTGCATGCCATGCCATTAGCTTGAGTAAGTCCAGCTGACATGCTCATCAGGAATTCACATGTGACGCTGGAGACAAAACTATGTTGTACATGTGAGATTGTAAGAGACCCTAAAAAACCGGCCTACACAAAATGGTCCCTTTCCCCTCTATCCCAACCCAGATTCCATTAAACATACCTCTTACCATGCACTAAGCCTAAATTCAACAAGAAGATACCACGGAAGGTGTTCATGTTTGATAGAGCTGATATGACCAACATGAAGACAGAAATGGTTGATTTTCAGCAATCATTCTTGAGTGGCAACCCTAGGTCAAGATCAGTTACAGAAAACTGGGAGATGTTCACAGCTAAACTTAATGAGCTCATGGAGAAGCATGTTCCATCGAAAATGTCTAGCTCCAAGCACAACAATCCATAGATCACCAAAAGCATAAGAAGAATGAGCAAGAAAAAGCAGAGGATGTACAACAAAGGCCAAGTCAACTCAGAAGCCAAACGACAGGAAAGAATACAAAGACTACAAATGTATAGGAAATCAACACCAAAGAAAGTTCGCCAAAATTGTTGGGCCTTCCAAAATACAATGCTCACCAACCCTGAATACATATCCAACAAATCCTTCTGGAGATATATAAAATCCAAAAAGCAGGACTCAACCAGCATTTCTTCCCTCGAACAAGGAAGTAAGGTGTTCTTTGAGAGCAAAGGAAAAGCTACCATCTTCAACGAACAATTTTGCTTGGTCTTTTCTTCAGAGGACACCACCAATCTACCCTCATTTGATGATCCTGACTTGCCAGCAATGGACGAGATCACTGTAACATCAGATGGAGTTTTCAAGCTGCTCCTGAATACTAAGAAAGCAACCGGCCCAGACTTAATACCAGCACGCATTCTGAAAGATTTGGCAGCTGAAATCTCACCAATCTTTAGCTGCATATTCCAACAGTCGTTGGATACAGGATGTGTCCCCTCTGCCTGGAGAATTGCCAACATTTCGCCCATCTACAAGAAGGGTGATAGGAGCACAGCATCCAACTACCATCCCGTGTCCATCATATCCATTTGAAGCAAGATCATTGAGCACATCATTTTCAGTCAGATAATGGACCACCATATCCTCTCAGATGCCCAACGCGAATTCAGACCTGGACGATCGTGTGAATCTCCACCCAAGATCTCGCCAAAGCGCTTGATGATCGTGGCCAAGATGATGGAATAGTACTCGACTTTTCAAAGGCCTTCGATCGGGTCCCTCACCAACGCCTTCTTTTGAAGTTACACCATTATGGAATCAGAGGGCCTCTTCTGACATGGTTGAAAATTTTTCTGACGAAGTGATCCTAGGGTGTTGTAGTACATTGTAGATGGAAAGTTGTCTGACTGGGCATCTGTGACCTCAGGAGTACCACAAGGGACAGTTCTTGGCCCCCTCCTGTTTTTGTCATTCATAAATGACCTACCATTGGTCATTTCTTCTAACATCTGCCTTTTCGCAGATGACTGCCTACTCTACAGAACCATCACCAACAACAATGACACCAAACCAAAGTACTTCAACAAGACCTAGATCATCTTCATCAATGGTCCAACACATGGCAAATGCAGTTCAATACAGAGAAATGCCACTCAATGAAGTTCTTCCTCCGTCGCAACATGATCGAAGCCACATATCACCTGGGAAACAGCACCCTCACATCAGTAGCAGACTACCCATACCTCGGGCTGACACTCTCCACCAACATGTCCTGGTCCAATCACATCAATAAAGTCACTTCCAGAGCCAACAGGATCCTGGGACTAATCCGGCGCAACCTGAGAGGTGCTTCGCACAAGCTCAAAGAACGAGCCTATCTCATGTTGGTTCGCCCGCACCTGGAATACTGCTGTACCATATGGAATTCGTACTCCAAGAAGGACACCTCTAGGATCGAAAACATCCAATGTCAAGCCGTAATGTTTGTACTTGACAGATATCGTCGACGGGAGAGTGTATCTGATATGCTGCAAAAACTCCAGTGGGCTTCGCTTGAAGAAAGACAAAAAACATCAAGTCTCCTTCTGACAGGCTGATGTACAAGATCCGACGCCATCTCGTGGCAGTTAACCCTGACCTCTACCTCATTTCAATGGTTCCTTCATCAACAAGATCATATCATCCTAATAAGTACCAACCCATTCAAGCTCGTCTCCAACTATACTGCTACTCATTTTTTCCCCCGCACAGTCGCCTGGTGAAATGCACTCCCTGAAATCACCGTAGTATCCTCACCAACTTATGAGGTGTTTAGGGGAGCAGTAGCAGCAGCCTGTCCATAATTTCATGGATGTTTTCACTTGCACCCTGTATATACCTGCTCTGAAAGGCACCCTCACTGTACATGTACATCAAGTTTTTCTCGGCACTACATCCAAACTTATGGACATTGCTGAGTACCGCTGTAGAAGTAGAAGAAGAAGAAGTGCGCTCAGTCATTCATGAAGCTAATGATCGACTTGAAACAGAACAAAAGTTACTAAAATATAAAAAGTATTGATGATTTTGGTGGCTTCTTCAGAGAAACAGTCCAGTGCCACACTGTCATGGCTGTGTTGTGGTTATTGTGCTTGTGCCAATCAGATTATTTCTCAAATAATCCAGGAATAATCTGATTGGCTTTGTAGTCGCATCAATTTGAGATTTGACATCCAATCCTCTCGCTTGATCTTCTATCGTGAGGATTAGCTGAGTGTCACGTAACCTATACAATTTAAAACTAGAGGTTCGCGTTTGTTGTTACACACGCAGAGTGGTCGGGCAGACATTTTTTCATTAAACACTGCCGAGGTAAGTTATGAATATTTTTATGTAAGAACAAAGGATCATGGAATTAAATACTTTCCAGTACAATCAATTATTTTGTGATAAAATTCAAGTAAACATTCAAACAAGTTATTTCTGGCTTGATGATGTCATTATTCAAAAACGGGAAGTGAATACTGATTTTGTTCGGAGTGGATAAATGTTCATTTTAAAGTGGAAAAAATAAGTGTATGTATTCATTACACCTAACTTCAGGTCGGATGACGTCACAGTATTTGGAAGCAAAAAGTGAACATTGTGATTGATATCGTTATTTGGGCTACAAAGATATACGACATGGATCAAATGATTAAAATTAAATCTAAAATATAGTCGTTTTCAAATTTTCATAAAAAGTAACTTCCGGTCTGATAACGTCATGAATTTGAAACCTTGCCAAGTTATTTGTGGTTAAAGGGGCGATTTGGTGAAATTTGAACCGAAGGTTTTCAAATTAAAGAAAGCAAACACTGTTTTATGTGCCGCTAGGGGGCACCCTTTCAAAAGATGACGTCATCACATTCGCTTGTACCCCCACCCTGCAAACAGGATGCTGGGATACTCTGATGAGCTTCACAGAATCTTGTGAAGGAAGTGGCCTATGACCTATGTATAAAGCACTGGCTGCAGCTGTTCAAGACCGCAGTTAGACAATGTGCGCAAATGCTATCTGAAAACTTCCCACAGAAATGCACACGTTCCATACCGAATGTGATTTCTGTTTCGTTGCGGACCATGTGGACAAAATTTTGAGCGTCGCATAATGCAATCCGACCGTTCGTGATTCGAAACGGAGCCCGAGCAAGAAGTGACGGGAATTGCAAACTTACAACACAGATAAGTTTTACAGAATTTCCTACAAAATCAAAGAAACGAAAAAAATCATCTCTAAACTGGAATAAAAGAGTAATGAATCAGTCTTAACGGCCTTTTCAAACCTTGCAGAGTCATAACCGCAGGTCACAGGTCACGCAAAATCCAACCAATCAGAGCGTGAATTCATTAGAGTATCCCAGCGTCCTGTTTGCAGGGCGGGGGGTACGAGCGAAGTCATCACACAGTTTTTTGTGTCTGGCATTTCTCACTGAACACTTTTATAATTTATATGTGTGTAGTAAAATGCTTCCGCTTTTGAGTTATACAGTCGAGTCTCATTAAAACAAACTCGTTCGGACGTACCTAGCCAAATTGTTTGTTTTATCAGAATTTTGTACTAAGAGGAACATCAGTCCCATTCATTGTGCACATAAATGCACAGTTGAGACCAAGGCTTTATGTTTGTTATAACCAGAATTTTGTATTAACAGAGGTTGTACTAACGAGAGTCGACTGTATTCGGTTTTAATTGCACTTCCGGTAACACCGGAAGTGAAGGTCAAGCGGTTTTGTGTCCGGGGACAAGAAATGTTTTTCAAGGCATAGTCTACAACCTCACGAAAAAACATTTCCATTAGGCCTTATGTTAAACAAAATTTTACCATTTTTGTCACGATTTAGAAATTCGATACCAACAATTGTTGCAGGGTGATACTATAGGGCATTATTACATAGTTTTGGTGGATTACTAATTTCGTTGCAACAGAAACACCCTCATGTTCCCCGGATAACATCAACACTAAATATAGCAAGTTGTGATTCCTTGCTGGAACACATAGTTACAGATGTTGTTAGCATTATGGACCAACATTATAGGTCTATTGCACAATTCCACTTTCATTGCCCAATGTTTCTGTTTTTCATTATTTTAAATTGTATAGGTTAAATTGTTGAAATTTGTGTCCATCATGTGACATCTGGTACCTGCACTCCCAATGGCATTGAGACGAGAAGTACTGTCCTTGTATCGAACATTACTGTGCACAGCCAAGACATGGCAGGCAAGCACCAAGCTCTTGAAGGATACCAGGGAAGAACAGCAGTACATCAGGGATGAAACACGGACATTATTCAAGAAAAATAAGCAGGTAAACTTGCATTTGTTTTCTCTCAAACATATCCGGGCAAGTTTGGACAGTTATGTTTGAACAAAAGCTTTAAAGGGGCACTGCATGCTGAAATCCCCGAAAATTTCATGTTTTGGATTGTTTACTTATCCTATTTCAAACATCTGGTTGAAAGGAAACCAACCTAATATCTCTTACGGTTCCCAAGAAAAGACCAAAAAAACCCCAGATTTTTTACATTGGACATGACGGAGTATGATATGTGTTTCCTGTCGTTTTCATACAATGTATGATAACGTTGTGTGTGTCTAGTATTACACATGCACAGCACCGTGCTCACGAACAGCAGTGACCAATCACCAATGCACAAGATGGAGGTCATTGCATGCAGCACCTCACTCATCACTTTTGTTGGCATGACTGTGAAGTGAATGGGAGTTTCTAGTAATATCAGATAACCGTTATTCGTTTTGAAAAAAATATTAGAATAACTGGATTTTCAAATCTCCGATTTCTCCCACCACTACAAAAAAAATTAAAAATAACCAAGGAAACACCTAAACAAATTTACACATTACGTGGCCACCACAATTGCTATAAACTTGAAAACTAGTAAAAACAGCCACCACAGTAATGTCTGTGTGTGACACTGCAAAATCACTAATTTTTAGAATTGACTTTAGTGCTGAAAAACATGCAAAACGAAATCAGGCCAACTTTACTCGCTCTTCAGCGAGCAAAATTCTCCAAGATTTTCATTGGGCAATGAAAAGGTCCAAGTTTGAAGACTCACTTCAATTTTTAAAGGAGACTTTTTTTCAATATTTTGCACATGAGAGGGAAGTCAAGTGATTTCAAAATGAGGCTAAAGACTAGACTGGTACATGTCCAACCATTGTCCAACTGTTTGAAATGACTGACCTCTTCTTTCATTGTCATTAGTCTGGTGGCTGACTATGGAGAAATAGAGACTAGCACCAGACATGCCACATATGGCACAGTTGATTGATGCAGTACTAAAGGGGTGTTGGACTGGTTGTTTCAGTTGCCAGTCTACTTTCTTGTATTGCATGTTTTCAATACCTGAAGTTTTGGGACTCTCGTACTCGGTATTGAGAGTCCCAAATTTTCAGACTAGTTCTGCATATGTGCACACAGTCACTCAGTGAAACTTGAAAATGCTGCTCATGGTGCAGCATCAAATAGAAATCAAATTTCATCTGTGAATAAAGTGTGACCGAAGAATGTAAAGAACTTGTTCAATAAACTTTTTATGAACCTTTCTTTGACAGGTAACAGATCCTGAGAAGATTAAAGTATACATCCAGGAGGCTGAGGCAAGGTTGGCAATGGGTAAGATATGAGCTAATAGTTGTATAGCCAGCAACTGCAGAAGAATCAATTTGGGTAACTAATAAATAACCCACTTAAGTGTACCTCTAAACCAATTGCTGAAAGTGTTCAATGAAATAATGCTTTACGTTTTTACAAAGATGTAAATTTGGCCTCCTACCCAGTTTGACTGACCGACCAAGTCACTGACTAATGACTGAGTCGCTTACGACGCTGAGAATAAAACATTAAATTACTTCATTTAAATACTTCCTCAAGTTGATTGAGCAGAATGGAACTATACTGTTACACTACATGGAAATTTCCCCACAATTTCTTTTTTTTATCCACAGCGTTACATTACCAAAGCCCCTATCCAAGACCGGTAAGTTCCAGCTCACCATCATAATTTGTAGATTTTTAAATTAAGTGATATTTTTACTTTAATTTTGTGCTTTTTAATGTGATTTTACATACAAAAAAAAGCCCATTCCTTTTTTTTTAAAGTTACTCTTAATAGTAAAATTTAGAAGCCTAGAATGAAATAAGACTTTTAAAAACACAAGTATTTCTTGTTTAAAGAGGTTGTGGAATGCTCGAAGACATTTCCGTCATTTTTTGGGTATATGTAGCCTAAGGTGTGATGAAATAAAAACGACTATTGTTTCTGTCATGAAATGAGTACAAAGGGTACTTTTGAGAGCTATTTTTCAGGTCCTGTTTCGACCTGAACGTGCAATTTGTGTAAAAGTCGTCGTTGCGGGCAGCAAACAAAACACAGTAAATCATGACGTAATAAAGAGGACTCGTTTATGCTACTCTGCATCGGGAGTCCAGTTTATTACGTCACGATTTACTGTGTTTTGTTTGCTGCCCGCAACGACGACTTTTACACAAATTGCACGTTCGGGTCGAAACAGGCATGACAGGACTTGAAAAACAGCTCTCAAAAGTACCTTTTGTACTCATTTTATGACAGAAACAATAGTCGTTTTTATTTCATCACACCTTAGGCTACATATACCCGAAAAATGACGGAAATGTCTGCGAGCATTCCACAACCTCTTTAAATGAAATCTCTTGGGCCACGTAACATTGGTTGTGATCTTTTACCAATTCAAAGAGAGGTTTTAAACAGAGTAGTCCTTTCTTTTTAGGTGAATATTCCGCCTATGGGTCTCCCACCCTCTGTGAGTCGAGGGAAGAAGGCACAAGACAGACTGAGACAGAGAGCTAAGCCTGTGTATCTGCAATCCCATGATGAGCAGTGATCAGTGGCGGATCCAGGGGGCTGCGGTGACCGAAATTGTGTCAAATAAGGCCATTTGCACTTGAGAGACCGCTCCCCCTGGCACTAACCTCTGTGGATCTGCCCTTGCTGATTGTAACAAAGACCTGCCATACCTTCAAATTGGGGAATGTTATGCTCAGATGCTACTACTTGGTTGGGAATTTCTAAAAATTTCTCTTAAGATGATAATTTTTTGAATGACTTTTTTTCTTTAACAAATTTCTACAATTTATTGTACAGTTTCAATTTTGTTTCAGAAATGTCTGAAAAATATGGAAACGTTTCTACGTTTTTCTTTTTTTCTTGGAAGATCAGGCATTCAAAGAGCATATTGTCATTGAAACCCGAAGCTTTCTGAATGATGGTATAATCACAATTCTTAGGTGCATTTGTTATTGGAACAATTTGTGTGCACAGATACTAAACTGAGTTTTTTCTAAAGTTTTGGCACACCCTTAGTGTTATATATTTTTAGTATTATGTAATTGTTATCTTTTACCAACATTGTAAATATGAATAAAAAGACTTGCTGCTCTTCAAAATGTTAAGATTTTGTGGCAACTTGTTCTTTCAAGTTCTAACTGACTTTTTAAGTGGTGGGCACGCTGAAAATGAATTAACTGAGGATGAAAGTTCATAGTCATTTTATTTTATAGTGTTACCTTAATTTTCCATGACTTTTAGCGGCTTGTGTTAAAAAATTCCTCAGGGTTAGGCCAAAAAAAAAAATAGTCGGTCTCTGGTCAGACCGAAGTTCCGGAATTGATGCGGCGACGGGTTTTTTTTTTTTTTTGGTGGCCTGTTTTTTTTTCAAGCCTGTATTGTACAGACAAGGTGGGTACTATTTTTCTTTTTTGTGTCCTCATTATACATTGGTGTCCTCCATAATTTGCCTTGGTGCCCTTTATCATTTGCCTTGGTGCAATTTCCCCTTTCCTTGGTGCTCTTTGGTACAAAAATTTGAGGAGGCGCGGCAATATAGAGGGCGCTGTTGTAGCTTCCGTGTTAATTTGAAGAAAAAAAGAAGGTTGAAGCGCATGATTAAAATCGACGCGCGCGCTGACCAGAGACCGAGTATTTTTTTTTTGGCCTTAATCATATTTTTGATTGCGAGCTAAAGTCCATCCATGATCAGATGAAAGGATTGTATTAATGATAAATCATTTTTATACAAATTGACAAGCCAAACATTTGGCATACTACGTTGTTAATAAGGTTATTGATAAAACTGAACATGGTAGGGGTGGGGGCCAGGGCAGGTCAAGGCCCCCCCCCCCCCCCCCCCCCCCCCCCAATGAATTAATCGGGGGATGAAGACATCTTTTTGTCTGAACTTTTTTCAGGAAATAAAACGTTGCGCATCTCCGATCGTTAGTCATCAGTTTTATGATGTTGAAATGGGCTTAGCGCACGAAACTATATACTTAATCACCTTCCTTCTTTTGAAATAATACTGGAGCCCTCTTGCCCCCAGCCCCCCCCCCCCCCCGAACTTGTTTTGTATCCGCCCTTGGCACTTAATGTATGTGATTGAAGCCCCAAGTACCACCCAGGCCATATTCACCCCTAGGAAAACGCAGCAGAGTCTTGGAGGAGAGTCTTGGTATAAAGCTATTTAAAGTTAGTAAATGAATGTATTAATATAGAAATGGTTATTATTCAAGACATAAATTTAGCGAACTGGCCCACAAGCGAAATTCGTTAGCTCAAGCCTTGTCTATCCCTTTTGCACCCAATTATAATTATGACGGATAATCGTAAAACTTTATTAATTATTAATAGTATCGACGAGTCTCCCACGGTATAACATTTTCTGGTATCGATTATTATCGAGAGGGTTTTCAAACCTTTCACTCGCCCCCCCCCCACCCCCGCCCTGCAAACAGGACGCTGGGATACTCTGATGAGCTTCACAGAATCTTGTGAAGGAAGTGGCCTATGACCTATGTATAAAGCATCTGGCTGCAGCTGTTCAAGACCGCAGTTAGACAATGTGCGTAAATGCTATCCGAAAACTTCCATAGAAATGCACAAGTTCCATACCGGATATGATTTCTGTTTCATTGCGGACCATGTGGACAAAATTGTGAGCGTCGCATATTCGCTCGTACCCCCGCCCTGCAAACAGGACGCTGGGATACTCTGATGAGCTTCACAGAATCTTGTGAAGGAAATGGCGTATGACCTATGTATAAAGCATCTGGCTGCAGCTGTTCAAGACCGCATTTAGACGATGTGCTCAAAAGCTATCCGAAACTTTCCATAGAATTGCGCGCATTCCATACCGGATGTGATTTCTGTTTCATTGCGGACCATGTGGACAAAATTTTGAGCGTCGCATAATGCAATCCGACCGTTTGTGACTCGAAACGGAGCCTGAGCGAGTAGCGGGAATTGTTAATTTACAACACAGATAAGTTTTACAGAATTTCCTACGTTATTACGCTTTTTTCAACGAGAAAAAAACCATCTCTAAACTAATAAAAGAGTAATGAATCAGTCTTAACGGCCGTTTCAACCATGTAGAGTCATGACCTTGATGACGCTCAGGTCACTTGTCACGCAAAATCCAACCAATCAGAGCGTGAATTCATCAGAGTTATCCCACTGATCTCTATATAAAGACTGGATAGCAGCAACCTCGTCCCCATGGTGTCGAGCAGTACGCGCCCACCACTACCTGCTCTCTCACCCTGGTATTGGTAAGAGTTTTCACGAAGAGAGAATTGTGGCCACGGCCGGGGCGTTGAAACATAGTTTTGAGAAAATCGACTTTAAAGTTGAACCCTTTTTAAACTGAAGATTTCGCCTACTTTTAGAGGACATGTTGATTATTTTTTTTTTATACCGATAGTAAGCTGAAATCTCACACTTACACATCTATACTACAATTCAAGGAATCTCTGTCTGTCTGTCTGTCGGTCTGTCCGTCTGTCTGTCTGTCCGCCGATTATCTCCAGAACCGGGCACCGTATGGAGTTGAAAATCGGCCGGTGTATTGCTCGGGACAACAGAATGTGCAGTGCCAAGTTTGAAGTGGTTTGGACGAGGGGTTCTCGAAAAAGCTGCAAAAAACCAGTATTTTTCGGAGGCAACGTGGCAGCTTAGAACATAACACCACGCACTGCCGTTCTTTTCAATTGTTTACGTCATGTTTAAGCTAAAGCGCGCGTGCTCAATATGACGCAAACAATGCAAAAAGGACGGGCACGCGCACGTGCATTATATAGGGCGATACATACCATGTTTTTGTATGTACACGGGCACATTATTTTGCAGTCGACTGAGCGACAATTGTAGGTGGTCGAACTTCAAACTTGGCACAAACTTTGACGTAAGTGTACGTTCAACCTGTAAAAACAACACCATTAAATCGCGTGTGTTGTTTGCACAAGCAGTTCTCAAAAACTCTGCAAGTATGCGACCTATACCAGCGGCAAAGCAATTTGCGTTTCCCGAAGATGCACATTTTAGACGGGCACTGCACTAGTCTATACTACAATTCAAGGAATCTCTGTCTGTCTGTCCGTCTGTCCGTCTGTCTGTCTGTCTGTCCGCCGATTATCTCCAGAACCGGGCACCGTATGAAGTTGAAAATCGGCGGGTGTATTGCTCGGGACAACAGAATGTGCAGTGTCGATTTTGAAGTGATTTGGACCAGCGGTTCTCGAAAAAGCTGCAAAAAAGCAGTATTTTCTGAAGCCCAGCGCGCCAGAATATAGCCTAGAACTCCACGCACTGCTGTTCTTTTCAATTGTTTACGTCATGTTTAAGCTAAAGCGCGCGTGCTCAATATGACGCAAACAATGCAAAAAGGACGGGAACGCGCACGTGCATTGTAGGGCGATACCATTGTCCAGTATGGGTGAATAGCACTGCGTACCATATGTTTCCGTACGTGATGACTGCACGGGCACACTGCATTTTGCAGTCGATTGAACCACTATTGTAGGCGGTGGATTGAGCAACCTTACTCACGTAGGTGAGTAGCTGCACGGGCGTATTGGTGAATATCAGTGCCGGGGATGGCCTGTCGATATGTACAAAGTGCGCTCAACCTATGAGTGTGAGTTTAACCTGTGAAAACAACACAATTGAATCGTGTGCGTTGTTTGCATGATATGAGCATTTTGAAATTGCCCCTAACGAACAGGTGCATTTTTTTGACGGGCCCTGCAAAAATGACGGGCACATTGTAGGGCGATAAGCACTGCACACCATGTCTTTGTACGTACATATACGTGAGTGGCATGCACGGGCACATGCATTTTGTCCTCAACTGAGCAACCATCACTGCACTGTTTGTGCCGGGGGGGGGGGGGGGGTGACGACATTTTGTGAGTTTAACTTGCGAGTGTGCGTTCACACCATTGAATAATGTGCGTTGTTTGCACGAGCTGCAGTTCTCAACTGCCCCTTCCGAACACGCACATTTTCGACTGGCCCTGCACTAGTCTATACTACAATTCAAGGAATCTCTGTCTGTCTGTCTGTCTGTCTGTCCGTCTGTCTGTCTGTCCGCCGATTATCTCCAGAACCGGGCACCGTATGGAGTTGAAAATCGGCGGGTGTATTGCTCGGGACAACAGAATGTGCAGTGCCGAGTTTGAAGTAGTTTGGACGAGGGATTCTCGAAAAAGCTGCAAAAAAGCAGTATTTTCTGAGACCTAGCGCGCCAGAATATAGCCTAGAACTCCGCGCACTGCCGCTCTTTTAAATTGTTTACGTCATGTTAAAACAAGAGCGCGCGTGCTCAATATGACGCAAACAATGGAAAAAGGACGGGCACGTGCACGTGCATTGTAGGGCGATACCATTGTCCAGTATGGGTGAATAGCACTGCGCGCCATATGTTTCCGTACGTGATGACTGCACGGGCACATGCATTTTACAGTCGATTGAACCACTATTGTAGGCGGTGGATTGAGCAACCTTACTCACGTAGGTGAGTAGCTGCACGGGCGTATTGGTGAATATCAGTGCCGGGGATGGCCTGGTGACATGTACAAAGTGCGCTCAACCTATGAGTGTGAGTTTAACCTGTGAAAACAACACAATTGAATCATGTGCGTTGTTTGCATGATATGAGCATTTTGAAATTGCCCCTAACGAACAGGTGTATTTTTTTTGACGGGCCCTGCAAAAATGACGGGCACATTGTAGGGCGATAGCACTGCACACCATGTCTTCGTACGTACATATACGCGAGTGGCATGCACGGGCACATGCATTTTGTACTCAACTGAGCAACCATCACTGCATTGTATGTGCCGGGGGGGGGGGGGGTGACGACATTTTGTGCGTTTAACTTGCGAGTGTGCATTCACACCATTGAATTATGTGCGTTGTTTGCAGGAGCTGCAGTTCTCAACTGCCCCTTCCGAACACGCACATTTTCGACTGGCCCTGCACTAGTCTATACTACAATTCAAGGAATCTCTGTCTGTCTGTCCGTCTGTCCGTCTGTCTGTCTGTCTGTCCGCCGATTATCTGCAGAACCGGGCACCGTATGAAGTTGAAAATCGGCGGGTGTATTGCTCGGGACAGC